GGACACCGCCATGGCACGGGGGAGGGGGGTGTCGAAGAAGAGAGAGAGAATGTGGAAGGAAGAGCAGAAGGGAGAAGAAGACGGTGTCGGCTATGGTGTCTCTGGAAGTGTAAGGATCTCAGTGAAGAATGGCGTTCGGATTGACCATGGACCAAAGTCTATCATGACTATACATGACAACAGCTCCTCCTCTTCCTCCTCCCCTTCCCCTCCCTCCTCCTCCTCCTCCTCCTCCTCCTCCTTCTCCTCATCCTCATCGCCATCATCGTTTTCCATCGTTGCTCCTGTCTGTGGGTTGGGCGCCGTTTGTAGGGGTGGTACAGTGCCCGCTGGAAGGTGTACAACTGCACGGTGTTCTCGGAGAGGGGAGAATCTTTTGCGCCCGGCAAAAAAAAAATCGAGGTCCCGATCCCAACTGACCAAAGGCAAGTGGCCCCGGTGGAGAATCTCTTATCCGAAAGTAACGGTGCAACTGCCGAACAGGACAGTGAGAGATCTGAGTTTGCTCCTAGAGTCCTCATTAAACGAGTTGCTGGCTATGAGAGGAGGGTGGGAATGGAGGAGAGGAGGAGGAGGAGGAGAAGAAGGAGGAGGAGGGGAGATGGAGCAGGACGCCGTGAGTTTCGTGCATGATGTGATGAGCAGATGTCCGTTCCGCAGAGATGTCAAGAAGATGACATTATTGTTGACGAAGGTGGGAAATGCTGGACGCATGGGCACACTTCAGCTAATGCTCACGTGGCTTGAGAGGTTTGAAGATATAACAACGGACGAGCGCATGTATAATGCGGTGTTGGGCGTTTGCATTAGGTAAGGTTGGTTGGTTGGGTGGCTGTTTTTTTGCATCTGGCGTATGGACTTTTTTTTTTCTTTCTATTTTTTATTTTATTATTATTTTATTATTATTATTATTATTATTATTATTATTTTTTATTAGGCGGATGGACATTGAGATGCTTCCTTTGCAAAGAAGAAAAAAATAAAAATAAAAAAATGAAAAGGTTGGTTCTAATCTTTGTTCTTACCGTTTCTTGCTAGCTAGCTCTTCATCGAAAATATGCGAACCCCTAATTGGGTTTTTCTAATTGTTTCTTTTTTTTTTTTTTTGATTCCATCAGTTGAAGATATGAACTCATGATTTGTGCATGAACTGGTACGTGGGTGTACCGTTCAGCAAGATGGGCCTTTTGGCTTTTTCTGGTTTTCCAATTGTAGAATTTTTTGTTTGTTGTTTTAGCCGAACGACCTTAACGATTTTTTTGGCTTTTTTATTGTAATAATTGTGAATATTGGAGGGTGCGTAACTATGCCTGTGGCAGAAAGAGGAAGGATGTTGTTATCGGGGGGAGGAGTGGGGTATGTTAGGGTGCAAGGGGATTACGAAAGGCGGGGTGGGGGTTGGGGGGGGGGGCAGAGAGTGGGAAGAATAGGATGGTGATTGAGAAAATGTGGAGGTGGCGGGGAGCGTGCGGAGGAAGAGCACACATAACGAGGAGGAGGAGGAGGAGGAGGAGGAGAAGGAGGAGGTGGAGGAGTTGATGGCATGGAGGGGATGAAATGGGCATGGGGAGTTGGGGAGGGGGAGGAGAGAGGAGGAGGGAGGTAGTTTTGGAACGCAGAGAAGAGAATATAAGAGGAACCGAAAAAGATGGGAGGGGGGGACAAAAGTGTGGGTGGGTGAGGAAGATACAAGTGGTGCTGGGCTTAAAGGGGAAGAGCGGGAGCAAGGTGAGTGATCTCGATATCGATGTAAAGGCAATTAGCCCAATTACAATTACTTAATGCAATTACTAAATGGGTATGGCAAGTGGAGGATGGGTAGGTGGGTAGGAGCTATGTGTGGAAGGGATGAAGGACCTGAGAGAGGCTTGAAACAGTTAGAGAGAAAGAAGATAGCACATCACTTTCATCACAGGCAGGAGGCCAAGCGGATGGAGAAGGCGGTGTAAAGAGAGGAGGAGGGGGGGCGGGGGGAGGAAAAGGGAGGTTTATGGGAATGGAAAGATGCCCAACTGTAACTTAAACCCGTTAATTGATAATAACGGGATGAGCGATGGAAAAGGAGGGCAAAAGTATCATTTTGTTAATCTTTTTACCGTGTTTTACGTGGGCAATAGTAGATGATGATGATAATGATGATGAGGAGGAGGAGGAGGAGGAGGAGGAGGAGGAGGAGGAGGAGGAGAAAGAGGAGGAGAAAGAGGAGGAGGAGGAGGAAGAGGAGGAGGAAGAGGGACAGGGAAAGGAAGGAAGAGGAGGAGGAAGAGGACGAGGTAGAGGAGGGGAGAAAGAGGATGAAGAGGATGAAGAAGAAGAGGAGGAGGAAAAGGGGCAGGGAAAGGGGAGGAAGAGGGACAGGGTAAGGGAAGGAAGAGGGTCAGGGAAGGCGGACGAGGGACTGTGAAGTAGGAAGAAGAGGGGCAGGTAGGGAGGGAGGACGGGAACGGTGTCATTCTGTCGCTTATTTTACATTGTTCTTTACGGAATCGCAGAGTTGGTGGTGTTGTTGGTGGTGGAGTTAGGAGGAGGAGGAGGAGGAGGAGGAGGAGCAGCAGAAAGACGGAGGGGGGGGGGAGAAGGAGGAGGACAGAGGCTGATCATGGTGCTGAGATGGCACSCGRSAGKWGKGGGRCGRAAGGCGAAAGYCCCCCCCCCCCCCCMCCTTYYCCCTTCGTCTTTCTGCTCCAATCGGAGGGAGGAGGGGGGGGGCGAGAACGAATGGCATGTGAATATAGCTGATGTTGACATGGAAGTAGAAAAAAAACGGAGGAGGGAGAGAAGGTCCTCAGTTTAGTATCCGGCTGTTGTGTTTGTGTGTCAAACCAGATTGGAGACCGTACGTGGAACAGTGGAACCAAGTGTAACTGGTACCTGGGCCTGTGCGTAGTCCAACGCAGGGACCAAGGTCTGGTACTGGTACCTGAGACTGTTTACGCTTCAGGTTCAGAATGGTATATGGAACTACTGGCTGTGACTACGGGCCATTGAGACGTGCAGGCAAAGGATGATGAAAGTACTACCCATTTTGTTTAGTGCTATAGGCCTAGGTAGGCTACCAGCCGGGCCGCCCAGGTCGCCTAGTAGTTTGCCCGGGCGGCCCGGCAGTGCAAGGACCAAAGGTCCCAGGAAAAAAAAAAAAAAAAAAAAAAAAAAAAAGATAAAAAAAAAAAAAAAAAAAAAAAAAAAAAAAAAAAAAAAAATTTTTATAACAAAATTTTTTTTGCAGGAAAAAAAACTGAACAACTTTTGCCTCAGGGTCACATCGAAATTCTTCACCAAAAAAAAAAAAAAAAAAAAAAAAAAACATTTTATTTTAATTTTTATTTTGGCCCGGCCGAGCAAGTGGTCCCGGGACATTCTGGTAGCCTAGCTATAGGCGCATTTTTGGCGTATCCTGTTAATTTTTGTGCAAATCAATTTATATATGTTATGAAAAGTACCGTCTTCACCCGAATCGAATGCCCGGTAATTATTGCCGTATGTGGACTGGAAGTTGCATCAAATACAGATATTCGGGTGAAGACGGTAGTACACTGGGCGCATAATAATCAAAAAATAATTTTGCATTACCAATTTACCACTGCCATGCAGGGAAATCCTCTCAGTAATTATTGCCGTATGTGGACTGAAAGTTGCATCAAATACAGATATTCGGGTGAAGACGGTAGTACACCTGTCTCTTATACACATCTAGATGTGTATAAGARRMMGGTAGTACACTGGGCGCATAATAATCAAAAAATAATTTTGCATTACCAATTTACCACTGCCATGCAGGGAAATCCTCTCAGTAATTATTGCCGTATGTGGACTGAAAGTTGCATCAAATACAGATATTCGGGTGAAGACGGTAGTACACTGGGCACATAATAATCAAATAATAATTTTTCATTACCAATTTACCACTGCCATGCAGGGAAATCCTCTCAGAAAATTTACAGAGAGGCTCCGTCCTCGCGAGCAATCGAAAGTGTTTATGAAAACTGCAAATTTTACGAGAGGAAAGTTTGCAGAGAGAAGACATCACAGCTTTTGAAATTTACGAGCCAATCCACACACACTCAAAGAGTAGGACAATAGGGAAACATGTTTACAAAGATGGGCTGCACCCTACTTGAGGCAGCGGTGCTTAAAAATAAAATAAAATAAAATAAAATAAAATAAAATAAAATAAAATAAAATAAAATAAAATAAAATAAAATAAAATAAAATAAAATTAAAAAAAAAAAAAAAAAAAAAAAAAGGCAGCGGTGCTAAGTCCTGAAGACAAGGTTTCTCCGACATACTGTAGACATACTGTCGTCTTATCAGTGGTGTCAACATGACAGACGAGACTGCTAGGCTGGCAGGGTTGCCGGAAATCGCCGAGTTGGACGTAAGAGTCCTCTCAAGGGTATATAACTAAACCCTTTCTTGGGTAAGCCGGTGTGTCCAAGGGTATCAATTAATGCATCCTGGGCCAGCTGTTCTGGGGTATAACCACCACCTGATGGATGAACCGGTGAAACACTTATCAGATCCCCACCCTTCCCTCCCTATGGCTGCTTTCAGGAAGAGCCGTTGATGCGTGCTGCTCCCTCCCTCCCTCCCTCAACCCCCTTCTCTCTCTCTCTCTCTCTCTCTCTCTCTCTCTCTCTCTCTCTCTCTCTCTCTCTCTCTCTCTGCATCACGTTCCAGGCCCCCTTCACCTCATCCTGTGACCCCTTTTCCCCCCTTGCATCCATTTTTCTCTGAAGCACTACCGTCTTCACCCGAATAGAACGCCCGGTCATTATTGCTGCATCTGGACTGAAAAATGCCCCAAATATGGCTATAATGACCGGGCATTCACTTGGGTGAAGATGGTAGGCTCTTTGGTAGCCTTCTGTCCGTCAGTACTATGATAGTCACAACCAACGTAGAAGGTGAGCGGCGCTGGTGGAGCAGCATGGCATGCAAACTTCGATCCTTATACCGTCTGCAGGTCGGCTGAGGGTTTCTTTCCTGGGTTCCTGGACTGATTGCACAATCCAGGAGAGAATTCTGCTGGCCTGGGGGGATGCATGTATTCAAAAAAAAAAATCAGCAAACTCTTTGGGCCTGGGGGGAATGTATTCTAGAAAAAAAATCAGCGAACCAGAGGAGTATCAAAGAAGACGGGTCAGGAACGGTGTCCTCCGGTTCAATCCGGCTCGTGTTTCGTTCATTTAGTTCGCCAATAATTAAACCTGGACTGTCTGGACAGTTGTGTCCTCGGGCTCAAATTTGCCTCCTCCTTTCCCTATCTCTACACTGGCTTATAGTATAAAGGAGGTACTTAGAGGGGTCTGTCTGGTGTCTGTCCGTCAGGCGGCCCTCGACTTGAATCTCTTCAGAGAGTCACCCCCCCCCCTTGGTTGAATGAACTACTCCAGTTTGAAGTCGTTTTTAAATAGATCCCGGTTCAGAGTTTTTAAATAGAACGCCCCCGGTCGTTCCAAAACTTTTTTTTGGGGGGGGGGAAGTCCGCAGAACTCTCTGCCATAATCCAGCGCCTTGTACAAAAACCACACTACCGCCTTGACCCGAATAGAACGCCCCCGGTCGTTCGTTGTAGCTGTATTCCGGGCAACTTTCAGTCTAGATGCAGCGATAACGACCAGGCGTTCTATTCGGGTGGAGACGGTAGGGACTATGGAACCCTCTGCAATGCAGTGCCTTGGGCGAACACTGGCTGCTACGTATCGAAAAGCTCACCTTCAACACTAGAGACAATTGAACAGGGGTGCAGGGCATGTTTTTCTGGAGAAAAGCTTAGAAAGAAGTAAGCTGAGATGTGTGGCTCACCTTCGACAGGTTCAAATCCTGCATTCCAGAAATTAAGCCATATTTAAAAAAAAAAAAAAAAAAAAAAGTTTGATCCTGGCGCAGAATGAACGCTTGTGAATTGACTCTGTTTTTCGGTCGGACTCTTCACGTATAGTCTCTGAGTTTGAGACTTCTGAGAAGGGGCGCATGGCATGTTCTGGAGAAACGTAGAAAGAAGCAAGCTTAAGATGTGCGGCTCACCTTCGACACTGGAGACTATTGCACAGGGGCGCAGGGCATGTTCTAGAGAAGCTTAGAAAGCAGCAAGCTGAGATGTGTGTCCTCTGCATACAGCGTACATGACACGGGTCTCGCCTTTCTAGATGTGATAAGAGGCAAGCAAGCAAGCTTGTAGCTCAGGGAGGTGCTCTTTGTCTCCGAACTCTGACATCTATGTTGTCAATGTCGTGATGTGAAATCGACAGGAAGGAAGACGTTCCGTTGGCAATGGAGGTCTACTCAATGATGGTGGGCGTGGGAATCCGACCAAACGTGTACACGTACAATGCCCTAATATCGACGTGCGCGAAGGTTAAGGATCTCCCACGGGCGATGGAGATGTATGGGAAGATGCGGGCTGAAGGATATCGTCCGGACATTGTCACATACAATGCGCTCCTCAGTGTTTGCGAGCGAACAGGAAAGTGGCAGCAGGCTCTGCGATTCCTCTCAGGTATGGCTGCAGACAACGTGAAGCCGGACGTGAGGACGTGTAACACAGTAATTCGCACGTTGAGTGCCGGTGGACAGTGGGAGAGGGCGCTGCAGGTGCTTCAGCGCATGGAGGCGGCAGGAATTCGGCCAGACACGTTGACGTATACTGCAATGATAGAAGTGCTGGGGAAGGCAGGTCGTTGGGAAGAAGCTCTGCGACGGTTCAAAGAGCTGCAGGGAAAAGCGGCGCGGAACGAGAAAGGATGTGCACTTGACATCCTCACGTGGAACACCATCATCGTGTGTTTGAGCGACGCTGGACAGGCGGAACTAGCGTTGCATTTGTACAGAAAGATGAGGGAGGAGTGGCTGGCGGGAGGTGGCTGTGCGCCCGATCAGGTGACGAGGAATGCAGTGATTGGTGGGTTTTCAAGGCGAGGGGAGTACAAGAAGGCCGCACGAGTATTTCAGCAGATGCTCGACGAAGGGGGATTTGTGCCGGACGTTTTCAGCTACAGTTCACTCATCGGCGCCTGCGAAGAGAGTCGCCAATGGGCTGTGGCTCTTGAGGTATACGAAGGAATGCTGCTCGAAGGCTGTCGGCCGAACGAAGTCACCTACAGGACCCTGCTGAATGTTCTGAAGCTATGTGGACGAGGCGCAGAGATGGAGATGATTGAGAGGGATATGGCCGCGCGGGGGATTCTGCTGAGAGAGGAGGCTGACACCTTGCAGGAGGAGGATGGGGGGGGAAGCATACGCAGCAATCAGTTGCTGCAGAGGGACTGGATAGAAACCCCGCTTCCGCTGTCGAATGTCGCAGAGCTGGCCGAGGCTCTCCATTGCCTTCCTTGGTATCAAGACATGAAGCCGATACTACGAATCTGGACAGGAGAGCTTGACAGCAAGACCGTGTGCAAGGTTATTCGTTGGCTCGGCAAGCACGGCAACTGGGAGCGAGCGATCGCACTCTTGGACCATCTTGAGAGCCGAGGTTTCGAAAAGAACGTAATCCTCCACACGCAGTTGATCGGCATTCTAGGACGATGGGGTCAGCCAGAGAGAGCTGTCAAAGTGTTCAAGAGCATGGAACAGAAAGGCGTCCCGCCAACCAGTGTGACATATGCCCATCTGATCAATGCGCTTGTACGAGGCGGCAAACACGACATCGCGCAGGCCTATTTCAAGGAAATGCGTGAGATTGGCATCACTCCGACAGTGATGACGTACAGTGCGCTGATCAGCAGCCTTGTGAAGAGTTGTCAACTGAAGGAAGCAGTCAAATTTCTGAATAGAATGGAAGAGGAAGATGGAGTGGAAGCCAACACCGTTATCTACAACCAGCTGATCCAGTGTTGTGGTCAGTGCGGGGAGTGGGAGATGGCTCTACGCCTGTTCGAGCGATTGAAGTCCCGCGGTTACACGCCAGACGATGTCACTTTCACTGCTTTGGTTCGTGTATGCGAGAGTTCGTTCGAGCCAGACGATCCGAACCCACTGCTGCAAACAGCTTTGGGGAGACTGTACGAGGAGATCGACGCGGCCGGTTATCATTATCCAAGTGGGCAGCAGCAACGCTGCCCCCCTCCCCAACTCACCCATGAAGGTACGGAACATCACTGTGAACAAGTGGGTGGGGAAGGAAAGCGGCTGCCGTGAGGCTGCAATAGAAATGGTTCTCAGTGCTGCCAACCTGCCTAGCAGCCTAGGTGAAAAACTGTTTGTGATGGCGGATAAATGTTTATGGAGCATGTACATAGGAACGATTGAGTTTGTATTATACTACGGACGTAGGAAAGAGAAAGAAATTCAGATCTCCGATCGGCGATCGGATCGTTCCATGCATTCGAATGTCAGCCTGTCATGTTTTTCTCCCGGGCATGGACGGTTATTGACTGATTCGGTTTCATTGCATGCTTGCTGTCATGGGTGTCTGTCTTGTGGGAGGACTGTGTATTATGCACAGCCAGCTTGTTCTCAAAAGCCCTACTGCCTTCACCCGAATAGAACGCCCGGTCGTTATAACCATATCTGGTACAATTCCGAGGCCAGATACAGGTATAATGACCGGGCGTTCTATTCGGGTGAAGACGGTAGCAGTTTTATAAAATATTAATAAGGGCAGCCTTCAGGACATTTGTTAAAGAGATCGGAACTATACAGAGAAAGAGAAGATTTGCATGGCCCCTGCCTGATGAAGGATGCCGTACATAAATTGAGAAATGTTGTCGGCAGTGAAGCCACTTCAAAAGTATCAATCGTTAGCAGCATCCAACCATTCAGGAACAAACACGTTAGTGTCCACCCCAATTCATTGAGCAAACGCACAAGCAGAAGACGGAGAAGTCCTAAGAGGAAGAAGAGGAGGAGGAAGGAGGAGGACGATGGCCCAAAAAAGAAAAGAAAAGAAAAAAGACGGGCATCTGGAACTGCATGTGTGCTAAAAAAAAAAAAAAAAAAAAAAAAAAAAAAAAAAAAAAGTGTGCTGTTGATTGAAGCTTGGTCCTCCATTTGTCGAACCTGGAGGTGTGAACATGTGCAGTTTACGAATGATGCAACTGGCTGACTGGATGTCCAGGTGCATTCCGACAGCGGCAATACTGAGATTTCACAGACCCCACCACGGGCCACCAGTTCTGCTGAACCTCACGCTTGCGCCTCGAGAGTTGATCCAAACCTCGAGGCGCAAGCGTGAGGTTCAGCAGAACTGGTGGCCGCTGTCGGAATGCACCTGGACATCCAGGCCGCTGTCGGAATGCAGCTGGACATCCAGGCAGCAGAAAAACCAGTTCTGAGTCTTAAAGCACAAGTACACAGCCAGCAATGGTTTGCGGGCGGCCGTCAGAATCCAGGATGCGACACAGTCACACAGGCCACCAATTTTTTTTATTTGACGGCGCGTCTGCACACTGTCTTTTCCGGAAGAAACTCGTAGGCTACGAACTCGTAGGCGACGAACTCGTAGGCGACGAGTTTCTTTTCAGCAAGGATGGGGCCCTGTAGTAACTAGCCTTCTGGCTAAAAATAGATTTCAGCTTACAACTGGTTAGAGTTCGGGACATCCGTTAAAATTGGAATGATACAGAGAAGGGTAACTTAGCAAAATGGGCCCTGCGCTTTCAAGGATGACACGCATAAATCGAGAAATGGTCCAAAWAAAAAAAAAAAAAAAAAAAAAAAGGGAATACGTTTCTCAGCCTTCTGGCTAAAAATAGATTGTGTAGTATTCGGTCTGTCTCGCTGCATATAAGCCAGCGCCAGAACAAAATAGCTGGGCCGTGCACGGGCGGGTTAGACGGAAAGGGTGGTATAAAGTTTAAATTGAAAGGTTGGGAGTTCATTTGATGATATCTTTGTTCAGTGGCTGGGCTTGTTGTTGTTTTGGGGCCTCGCCACAGCACTCTCAAATGCGGAAATAAGTTTTTTCAGAGTACTCTCGGACTTCGGAATTCGAGAAATCGCAAACGAGTAATGCTCCCAGCCGCACTGCACCCTCGAATACCACACTGTCAGAGTCCTTCTACCATCTTCACCCGAACAGAAACGCCGGTCATTATCGCTGTATCTAGACTGAAAGTTAACCCAAAAATACAGCGATATTGACCGGGCGCTCTGTTCGGGTGAAGACGACAGGGCCCGCCAGAGGATCATTATCGCTGTGTCTAGATTGAAAGTTAAACCCAAATACCGCGATATTGACCGGGCGTTATATTCGGTTGAAGACGGCAGGGCCCGCCAGAGGGTCGTTATCGCTGTGTCTAGACTGAAAGTTCACCTGAATACCGCTATATTGACAGGGCGCTTTATTCGGCTGAAGACGGTAGGGCCCGCCAGAGTAGTGTCTCAAGCGTGCAATGTGACAAACCTGACACAAGAGGTCTTGTCCATCACGATTCGCGACCCGCTCTCGACTTCTGGGGTTGAACTTTGGTAGCCCAGCTGAGATATCTGGAAAACGCAGGGTCACAACGCACCCACTCCCGACTTTTGGAGTTGGAGAGAGTGCTCTCAAACAGCTATTCTGACAACTCTCAAGCTTTTTTTTTTTCTTTTTTTTTTTGAACCAAACAACTCTGGGATTAGCTTGAGGCGCTGGTAGGAGCAGACACGTCAAGCTTCCTCGGAGGAGGCTCCATTTATTGGTGGGGAGCTCCACCTGCTGAGAAACGGGCCCAGCATCCCGTTTTAAAATTGCACATTGAAAAACAACTCTCAAACTCCTTTTTGTGTGAGGAATTGAAGAACATTCAAACTTGGAACTAGAGCTCAAGTATTCAAGATCGCGCGGGAAGGGATCTGGGTAAACGGGTTTTTTTTTTTTTTTTTTTTTTTTTTTTTTTTTTTAACCTGTCGGGCTGCTCATCTGGGTAAACGTTCAAGTGCGAAACCAGACAAAATTCCGCTTGGAATCACTGACCAAACTGTAGAAGATTGGGAAAAATCAGTGAGTGGAAAAGGCACTCCCAGGCAACCGTCAGGTTGGAATTCTATAGTAACCCCAAAGACTAAGTGTGGCAACACTGATACTCGCCAATTCATGGATTCTGAGAGTGGTGTGCCACTGTGGCGAGACCCTTGTGTTTGATTCACTGGTCCATTTTATGTTATTTTATCTCCCCCTTGTGCAGGTGCCACGCTTTTTTTTTTTTTTTTTTTAATAAAACAGGTCCTTATGGTCCCGGCTCGCAGGTGCCATGCTAATCTTCTCTGTATCGTTACATTTTTCTTGACTGGTCCCTTCTAGCCCTCTGGCAGTGTCTTTTATATAATGGTGGTGCAAATGCAACTTGTCATGCACATTATGGTTCAAAATAGATAGATGCATAGACTGGGCATCCGGTGAGGCCCTCGTTTGCTTGATTGGTGTATCTTAGCCCTCTGGCAGCATCTTTATCTTCTTCTTCTTCTGTTCTTCTTCTTCTTCTTCTTCTTCTTCTTGCATGGGGGGGGGGGGGGGGCAGCATCTATATCCAATGACGGTGCAAATGCAACTTGTCATGCATAGAGTGGTTAATGAACAAACTCATATTTATTATTTTCCTATTTTTTCCTCCTTTTTTTAAAATTTGGACCATTTTTCTGGATTGATGTGTGTCATCCTTTTTTTTTTTTTTTTTTTTTTGACAAAACCACTCACAACAACAGATGGGAGTGATGATAAGAGCATGCACTGCTATCTGTCATGCAGGGGACTCCATTCTATTGGTGGGCAGCTGCACCTGCTGGAAACTGGGTCCAGCGACCCCTGAACAAGGGTAAAAAAGCACATGCTGGGAACCGGGCCCAGTATCCCTCATGATGTTCCTGATTCTGCTGATAGCTCAAGAAAAAAAAAAAAAAAAAAAAAAAAAAAAAGGGGGATTAAGACCTGGGCACCTCTTCAGTCTAATTACGGACTGCCAGATTAGCTTATCAAACCCAGCACCCAAGCTTTCTTTTGCTATTGTGCACATCCAAAGAATTCTAACTTCTTCACTCTTCCCCTAATCCAAACCATTGCAAATCAGCTCCTGGCTGAAGTTTGAACCAGTCTCGGAATAAGAGGCGAAAATCCTTTTTGAAAGGCTCCTCTGCCTCCTCCGCCCCTGGCCACTTCACTTCACCAGTCCCCACCTGCAGAATTTCCCAGCCAGTTCTTTTCAAATTGTTGGATTGCCTTCTTTATATCTCTTTTAAAATGAAATTTGTACAGTTTGACTGTGAGGACCTCCCATTGTGCCCGAACATGTGTTTGAACAAAATCCAAAATTGATTCCACAATATCGGGTCCTTCTAACCTTACTTCTTCTCTTTCCCTTACACAGTGTTTGTACCACAGCGTCCATATAACAGCCTTGCGTCCAATCACAAATAAATTTTGCTGAAAGTTTGATAACTGAATACCTGCAGGTTCCCGAAAGCCTCTCCCCGGGTGGTAGTGGTGTCTGCTCTTACCAGCACCACTATTACCGGTGGGGGTGTTTCTCAAAAAAAAAAAAAAAAAAAAAAAAAAAAAAAAAAGGTCTAGAGCCTAGAAGAATAGCCCTCCCATCCCGGGTCAATCTAAACTTGTCATGGTCCTCCAAATGCAATCTCACTTACGCCATATCAACACCGAACCAGCACACTGTAGAAAGATATGCTCGATGGTTTCCCGGATTTTTCTACTAGGGAATGCAGACACACAAGACTTACACCATGGCACTGCCAAGCCCCGTTGTTCCAACGTCGAGCGGTCAATCACCCAATCATTTGTGGGCAAACACCGGTGGAATATCTGCCACTGCAGAAAGGCAAATTTAGCTGGACGTTGCTTCAGTGTTCTAAAGAGCTTGATGTGTTTGATTAAATTTATGTCTATATCGAGGTGTCTAGCCCACCATTCTTGTATGATTGCTGCAATGTTCACTTTCGGGCGAAGTAGCCTATACTTGGCCTTGACTGTTAGAGATTGCAAAACCTCTGGTTTCCCTCTTTTATAAGTCAACCAAGTCCACTCTGCCGGATCGAAAGGAAGATCGGGGATTGGGATTTCAGGGTGGTATGGGAAGAGGAATTAAAAAAAAAACTGACCCTGTAGATGCATTTGTAGGGAAGCAATTCTGCTGTTTCTTTTGGGATCAGGTTGTAATTTTTTTTCATCCCACGTATGCTTACCAAAACGCCATCAGGCAGTAGGTGTATTACTTGGCCTATTTTATTTTGTTCACTAGGTATGCATCGTACTACCCAGTCTGCCTCCTGGACGCAAATCCCTTTCCTTAACATGCGGACCCAAGCCAGGGGATTAGAAAAAATAATGTGGTCCAAAAAATCCGCTTGCCGATGAGCATACCTAAGTGTCTCTCTCAATTGCTCCGCTGTTTTCCAGTCCTTATCGTTCCTATTCTAACAGATGTCACAAATGACAGGAGCTCCTACTTCCCATTCCCAGTGCATGAAAAATAGATGGATATCTGAAGTTTTTCGAGTTCTATGCATTGGGAATGAAACAACTGTGAGCATATCTGAAGCTGTTCAAGTTCTGTGCATCCGTTAAAATTGGAACAATACAGAGAAGATTAGCATGGCCCCTGCGCAAGGATTACTCTGTGATGCGCAACCTCACGCCCCGCGCGACGTTCCGTACGTCGGATGCCGATCAGAGTTATGACGGGTGTGACCATGGATTTTTGGCCGTGGGGGTTGAGTGATCCGAACGAAACGGGGGACTCTTGCTTCGGCCCGAGGTGCCTGGACGGGGACTTGAGCTATCGTTGAAAGCAGTTGACGAGAGAGCGGTGTCCTATGGTCCGACCGTCATCCTTTTCGGAGAGAGAGGGAAAAAAAAAAAAAAAAAAAAAAAAAAACCCACACACACACAAGAGTAGAGGGGAGAAGAGCAAAGAAGCAGACGGGGACGAAGTTCCGTTCCCCGAGGCGTGTGGTTCGCGCGGCCCTTGGGGACGGAGGCTTCGAAAACAGGTTCAGGCTTCGTTGTCAGACTCGTCGAGTCCGTGCGGACAGCGTAGCACGGGCTCGCCTGGGGCTGGGCAGGTCGATGGGACCCAGGCTCGGAAATGGGCGGGGAGCGCATCCGCATTGCAGGAGAGTTTGAGGAATCGAGTAGCCTCTTCGTATCCCAAGACCAACCGTCGCCACGAGCACGAGTCTCCCTGGTGACACCAGTGACAATTAAACCGCGGTTGTCAGGTGGTGTGCACAGCGGACCAGGGCAACACCGTGAGGTCTGTGTACGACAAAATTAAAGGCGGGGAAGCAAATCGCTCAATGAGCACAAACCCACTCCCGCCTATGTGGCACTCATGGGTCGGGTTATAAAGGTGGATTGGCTCAGTGCGTCGGAGCAGGCTCCGCACGTCCGCATCGCAGTATACGCCATCGTCGTCTACGATCGGGAAGGGCGGACGCACGCTGCGACGCTCTGAGACAAGGTCCAAGCTCGGGCCACGGACCACGCTTCCGTTCGTCGAGACGAAACCTGACTCCATGCAAAGATCGATGAACACCGCCGAAGAAGGATGCGCCCAACTTTCTTTCTCCATCTCTTCTCTGTAACATCCACCTGAACGCGGCGTCGGACACCCTTGGTGGAGATAGAGAGGTTGGCCGCTTCGCGCGAACGCGGGTGGTCGATTTCTCTGAAAGTATCCGCCTCCCCTTGCAGTCCCGACCTGCACACGAAAAGAGAGAGAGAGAGAGAGAGAGAGAGAGAGAGAGAGAAACGGTGAGAGGATGTTGGCGCATATCACACACACTCGCGCGGGTTAAGGGCAATTAATAAAAAAGGAAGGGAGACGGAAAGGACCGACGAATTCATGCACTCATGTCAGCAATCAACACTCGGTACCCTATGATCATCAGCCCTTACTGAGACATTCAACATCCATAGACTTCCATTCCCGAGAAGGCATATGATACACTACCCCCACATTGGGGAACTTGCACACATCACACGGGGACAAAGCAGCAATGGAGAAAAAGCTTCGTCTTAAAAATACAGAATTCTCTCAACTGGCCGCTCCGGGCCCAGTCCCCAATCCGTCAAAACCACCGACAACCATTGCCACAAGGCCCTGCCGCTGTCGGCGTCTGATCTCCACCACCGCTCAGTCCCTCCAACTGCCTTACCCCAAGTCTACCGCTAACTCCGCCACCTGCAGTCACTCCGCCCACCACGGGGCACATCGAGCCTTTCCGGCACTGTGGGCTTCGCGCACAGCTTGCGCAGCTTGCAGCCGAGATCAAAGAGAGTGAGAGGAAGGGGTTGCGAGAATTTATAGCGCGAAAGGCGGCAGAAAGGCTGCGCGAAGCGCGGGGTGTAGATGATCAGGACAGAAGAAGGGCAAACGTTCCAGAAGGATCGAAGGAGGCGAGTCGAATGGTCTGCATGATTGGGGTGGTCGTTCAAGTGGGGTGCGCTCCCCACGGCCACCACATTGCCCCGACCATCCCAATCAGACAGCCAATCATTCGCAGGGAAAGGAGAAGGAGGGGATCAGACTTCGCTTAGAGGGAAGGCGAAGAGACATGCAGGAGGGAGATGCACAGCAAGAAGGGAAGATGGCGCAGGGAATGCAGAGCGGGAGAACAGGTTTACTCGGCGCGCAAAAATTCAACAACTGCCCGGCGCTCAATTCAAAATTCCTACTCCCGCTAAGTCCCAACTGTTTCTTGAATTTCCTGGCGCGGCCGCTAAAAGAAAAGGAAAATGAAGCACCACTTTTCCCTATTATCTTGAATCTGTACTTCGGGGTTCTATGTGGGATTTTCCCTTAGGGGTACGGGAAACTCCGAGTGCGGATCCTGGCTTATCACAGACATGCATCAATCGAGCAATGGTCCAAATTCAAAAAAAAAATAAAAATTTGTGGGCAGTGTGGGTATCATTGTGAGATTTTGGAGTCAGAAGCATATCAGCAGGAACTCTCATTGTGGGTATCCTCCACAAAACTTGGCTTTGCATCAATGTAGGAGGGGGAGGAGAGTGTTGGAGCGATTGGAAGATGCTTTACGTACGAAAGGTGGGAAAAGAAGATGTGTTACGTACAAAAGTTGGGGAAAGAAGATGCTTTAGATAAAAAAAAGGTGGCATAAAGAAGAGAGAGTATTGACACAGGGGTGAGGCGTGAGGAGAAGGGGGTGTGTTGAGGGGGGGACTGGAACATGCTTTAAATCTTGGCTACCAGAGGACGGGCCAAAAACAAAAACGTTTTTTTGTTTTTTTTGGTAAAGAATTTCGATGTGACCCTGAGGCCAAAGTTGTTCAGTTTATTTTTCTGCATGACCTAGTTTTCTGTTTTGTTTTTTTTAGAAACTTTGTTTTTTCTCTTTTGTTGGGACCTTCCTTGGCGGCCCGGCTGGTAGCCTAGCTTTAAATGCAAAAAGGGGGATGCATGGAGCACTAAGAGGGTCTGCAAGGTGCTGTGCTCTTCCTGGAAGCACAGCACCTTGCAGACCGTGGGCCTCGTTCCACTGCTCAACATTCTGTATGTATATGGTATGGTCTGTCTGATATACCTGCTGCATTCGGACTGATTGAGCATTTTGAAGAAAAATTTTGCTTCTGGCTTCAAGCCCCGGACGAACCACGCAGCTGCTGTCCGTTACTGAGAGATGTACATGCGATTTAGAATGGAAAGCTTGAGAAACATGTACCGCATGCAGTTTGGCCGCTGTTTATAACTTTTGCTTCTGCGGCTGCATCGGGCCGGAAAGTGGATGCAATATACCTTTGTTTTTTTCTTTTTTTGTCTTTAGATTGCCAGATAACTCAGGTTCTTATCTCGTAGTTTTAATTTTTGTAATCTCGCCTCGTGCTTTAGAATACAAGCGCGTAACTCGGATTGACTTGTGCTGATGTTGGATGCATATGATGCTCGGACTCATTACACATCGCATACCATTCTATATTCCTAACATTATTTCTTATCATTTTTACAAAATTTACTGTAATTCTATTTCATTTTCCTTTTTTCTTAAATGGGAACGGCCTTAAGTTGCCATCGTCAAACTGACCGAGATCAGGAAATTCAGACAAGATATTCAATCGCATCAGATTCGAACTTAGATCTGTTCATCAACAGTTAATACGTGTGCCACTCAGCCAACACACGCAAGAATACACAATTTACTTCAGAGCTTGGAGAGCACTAATCAACGTCATTGCTTCGAAAAAACAAATACTACACTCGAAAAGATGCCCCAGAAGAAACAAAGAATCAAGTAAGCAGAAAAAAATAACATAACGCTATAATCGCATCCTCTGGCAGCAAACTCTGGATGCCGGAAAAGATCTATTCGATGGTCGAATCTGAGATCATTTCCGCACAGGACGAGCATTCAGAACTCGAGCAAAGAAGTCCTCGTCTAAAGAAAGAAATGCATCTATAACCTGAGTTACTCCCCTGCGAATCTCGGCGAAAAAGTCCGACTAAATACATCAAGAGAGTGAACGATCTACAGTCACATATAGCCTGAAGCATCCCCGCATTCACGAATAGAACTTCTGAAGGATAAATCATCATTACCAGCCAACGTAAAAAAAAATAATAATAAAAAAAAAAAATCAACTAACCATTCTTCTCCTCAACCCCGCCATTTCACACCATCCTTATCACAACATACTTGCCGGGCAACGATTCCCACGGACCCGCCTTCGACACCGTTACACTTCTACTCTTTCAAACACTCACCTCTCGAAGCCGGGATCCCCTCTTTAGGAAGACGGGATCCCCTCTTTAGAAAGCCTTCTACTCTTTCACATTCACCTCTCGAAGCCGGGATCCCCTCTTTAGGAAGCCGGGATCCCCTGTTTGGAAAGCCGAGATCCCTTCTTTAAAAAGCCTGGATCGCCTTTTTCAGAAGCCACCGCCTCAAGCACCGACCTACACTCATATGGAACCTGCAGAGCCCCCACATTCACGAAAAGAACGCCTAAAGAAGAAATCGTAAACGGCCAACTTATGAAAAACGTCAACTCACACGATTCATCACATCGACCCCGCCATTTCACAACCTCCTCACGACCTATTTGCCGGGATCCTGATCCGTCGAACCGCGTCCGACAAGATTGCATTTCCACTCTGCAGATTCTCCTCTTGCCGTCATCTCCTCGTCGAAAACTATGGCACCTAACCGCTCCCGCACACCCGCATCAAGCGCAAAACCCTGTACATGCTTGCCTTCCTGGCAAACTCTCCCGAGTCTCCCCCACCAAATGGTCGAATTTCGTTCATTGTACACGCGAAAACAACTGCTCTCGTTACAGACGCGAAGGAAACGCCGCTGCAGCTTTTATGAGCTACCACAATCTTCAGACACAAATAATAATAACGCACTTGTACGACCTCCGCGGACTTATCCACAGATGCGAGAACACTGCTGGCGCAACCACTCCTGCGATCTCGTCGACAGGTCACCAAGTTCCTGCATCGACCCGTTCTTGCAGATCATCCATCCTATGTTGTCGTTGCGCTTCCTCACCTGCCACAAACCGAGTCATAAACCGAGTGTCCAAGTCAGGGGGCGTGAAACAGCCACGACTTAATCAACACCCTCCGAGTGTCCAGGTCAGGGGGCGTGAAACAGACGACTTAATCAACACCCTTCCAAGGTAAAAAATGTCTAATACCCTTCCGCTGCAGCCAGCAGGGCTCATAGTGACCATGAACTATCACCAGCACAGGAGAAAGCCGTCACCCTTACACTTAAACCAATGTGAGGGCATGGGAAAACCGACTGCAATCAGTGCTCTTGCGGCCGCATTGACTCAAGACGTGACTTAGTGAATGACTGTGTTAGCAAATTCAAAATTACAAAAGACAATTGCCACTGCTGAACCTTAGACATCATCAGCATTTTTGGCCCAGTGATTTGTCACGATAGCAACAGTGATATCTCGGCAAAACCACCTACCCAGACTTGAGTTTGGTATGCAATCACAAATTGGAGCACAGTTGGAATCGTAAATGCGTCACTTACCAGACATACAAGTTTCGTGGGCAAGGGCTTGGACTCGGGAGGAATCGAATAGCCTCCCACTGCAGGGCACTTCCAGGCCCTCGTGTTAACGCAGTTCAGATACCGACACCATTTGCAATGTTTCTTGTGATCGGCGCCAGAGAAGAGGGCGACGATGGCGATAGTGAACCTGCGGGAGGACGAACAACACATCATATTCACTGGTTTAGTCATAAAATCCACTGCACCGCAGAAATTCCCGGGCTCAAATGGACAATTGTCTAGTCATATCAACCACAAACGGGATGGCAAAACTAATTTCTTCTCAGATTGAGCGGCAAGTAATCAACGCATCACAGCAAATGGTGAAATGCTTTTTCCGATGATCAGACCTTATTAGCTTTCGTGGAACGAACTAAATGCATTCCGAAAGATTAAATCCGCTCGTCGAAACAAAAAAAAAAAGTGCAATGAAAACAGGAACATGAGAGCAACTCTCATTCGCTGAACATCAAGAGTACCCGATGGAGGTTTGAACGTGATCTTACGCACCCAAGAATGAGGATGACGTAGCACAGCACACGAAGAACCTCCGCAACAGGCGTGAGACGATGCTTTGGTCTCAGATCGATTCCACCCTTAACGAGAGGATCTTCATCAGCTTGTTGGCACSCTTCGCTGTAGGATGGCAATGGCTTGATTAATATCAAGTAACCAAGAACAAGACCGGTGATGAAGGCACCGATATGTCCCCAGTTATCGACAAAAGGCATAAGGCCGAAAATGAGTTCGATCGCGGCGACAAGGCCCAACGTGACTCCCGCTGTGGCCTACACACACAAGACGTACCGACAGAGTTAGCAATCAGGCAAAGCATCCATCACCCACACACTGGAAACGAGATGAAGGCGTGACATGAGATTAACACGTTATCAAAGAGGAAGCAGTCTCGATGAGTTTGCCAGACATTCGAACATGAACACCGGCTCTTGCCCAGCCTGACAAGCCTTTTGCGATGAACAGGTCATAATCTGTCAGACTTACCTTGTTAATGTATTCTGAACCGTTGATAGCAAGATCTGCACAAGTCATTCCAATCAATCCAAACAAGGGGAACGACCCTCCCACGGAAATGTTTGCCGGAACGAGCAGCAGGGCCGACCATAAAGCGCCTCCAATACCAGAGGCGATGTACACACCAGCGACTGTCACTGCAAAACACAAGAGAACACAGTTGTAGCGAGAACACAAACGTACCGGTTAAAATACTCGAACCAAGAACTTCGAGAAACAAAAATCTGAAAGACAAACCCGCTGTCGTACCGTCGTCCCCGAACAGAACGCACAGTAATTATAGCCGTCTTTGGCTCAACTTTCAGTCTAGATGCAGCGAACATGACCGTACGTTCTATTCGAGGGAACAAGGTGGCTCAGTTGGTACACCACTGAACTGTTGAAATACACTGGAAGAACATGAGTAAAATCCTGCAATTCTGAATTACCCCGGGCCACCCCGGGCCACCCCGGACCGGTCAGTTCAGATGATGACATCTAAGGGCCGTAGTCCTTTCTGAAAAAGGAGAAAGAGAAGAGACGGTCTGGTCAGGTCACCCTGCCAAGAAGGTGATGGGTGATGATCCTGGGTGGTTAACACTACAGGGTAGGACAGGGGGGGGGGGCGTGCGCCAGGGCAAAAACGATGAGAGGAAGGGTGGATGGGGTCTTCAGAGAGGTTCATCTGGACAACCGAGTGGCCGAGTACTGTGAGTGACTGCCATCGGTCTAGTATCTCACATCTACAACAACCTGGGCACCTATAAATTTCAGAATGCCAAATAAAAAAAAAAATTAAATCCGAATGATCGATTCAGAACAGTTGTCAAGTACTCTGGAATGTATTGACGGAGCAGTTCTTTTGAATCCGACGGTCGCCGGCGGGAGGGCAGGACTGGGACGTGTTGAAAGTCACGCACGCAATTGGACTATGAACCTGGCGTTCACGATTTACAGAAGAGAATAACTCAGGCCATACACCAGGACTTTTTCCTCAACGCTGTGAACGTAATTGCGGTTAGGTTCGTGAAGGTCCGGCCGTAATTGTGGTCAGATGCATTCTGGAAAGTGCTATTGCGAGTATGCCCGCAAAATGTAGGTAATGCACACTTCTGTAGATCCACATTCCTGTCTGCACCCAGACGTTTGTAAGGGAAAAAGCTGGACACATACCAACTGAAGCTTAGCGGGCATATTTTAAGTAAGCAACAGACAAAATCAACTGCGGAACTTTCAACGCAAGATACGGCACGACTGGATTCAAATAATTGGTAAACATTCTCCGATGGGACCGTTACAGAAAATTCGAATCGACGATTGCGGGAAATCCCGAAACAGTACCAACGGGACTAGCCCAATTGAACTGTAGAAATACAGACCCAAATTCGAATCCAGATTCAATCGGATGACCAGAGAAAAGCAGAGGCGAGGGAAGGGGAGGGGGGGGGGAGGGGGGGCTCGTCTAAAAAGGGAGGGGGTAAAAAACAGTATCGGAACTGACAAAGGGAACCACGCCTTTTTACACTTTCGCGGAAGGATCAATGCGTGTCATGACGAATTCAAACAAATACTAAAGCTGAGGTTGAAATCTTATCGACCCTGACCTTTTCTCTCCCGTGACCCTCGAAAACGTCATTTTCATCTCTCATTTTTCGAGCCGACGGAATCCATCAATACAATGCGATCGACAAGGAGTGAGCAAACATGTACAGAATAGATAAAATTACTCCAGACAAGAGATGGGCATACGTACATGTGCCGCAATTCCATTCCAACCGGGCTCCGACGAAGATGAGGCCTAATAAAGTTACAATCAGGTGAAAGAGTCCGGCATGCAGCCAGAGGCACGTAAACAGTCTCCACTCTTGGCGCTTCCTGGATGTACGGCGAGGGTCCAATGCTCCCATTCGAACCAGACTGCAAGCATCACACAATGAGCGCAAGTGATTCAATATCAAGAAAATTAAGAAACAGCACTCAACAACAACGAGATCAGTTGTTGCACGCACGACATCTTTCCCTTAGGGATTTCAGCATCGCACATCAATATCTGCAACGACAGACATTAAATGAACAACTTGTGCAAGCAGTAAAAGTACGCCTTACCCGATCCCGATCTATGTTACAGTTTACTGTACGAAAATTGAATCCACCAGACCGAGTGCACATACGAGACACAGGGCCATCGACCAGGCACCGGAGATAATGCAGCACGACCACTGGCCGAAATATGCTGCCCTGATCTGTCGGAATAAGGAAAACATGGTGGTCATCTCCCTGCGGTATACTCTAGTAAGAAAGGTTGCTTTGGACCGAGTCGACAACTCTGGGCAAGAAACCATAGAGCATGGAAGACTATGCATTACTCAACTTAATGCGACAGAGAAACGTGAGCTCAGTACGTGACATTGGAGCTGACGAAGCGGAAGAAAGACAAGTGACCATAGAGTACGGAAGACAGGAAACCCTTTCGCGCATATAGCCTGCCGGCGTCTGAACGAAGCGGGAACCTGCATTCCGATCCAGCAGTGCAGGTACTCTGTTCACAATCAATCGCTCAGTGAAAATGCTTGCATCCATTTGTCTGCAGAGGAAGGCGCGAGTGGGCAAGCAGGAGGAAAGAGAATTGCCAACGTATTGCTACCCCTCCACAACACTTCCGTTACCCTGAAAGATAACATTACCATTAACACGTAGGAAGGAGAAACGACAGCTTAGCAAAATAGCGGGATGAGACGGTGGATGAAGGCATGGGAATAGATGGGAAGGTACGCTGAATGGAACCAACCTTCAGTTATAACATACGTATGTACGCTTCGTGAAGCGCAAAAACTACAGATGGGGTGGGACGAAGGGGCGAAGGTGTTGCTCATGATATGAAGAAGATACTCACGCTCGAGAGCCTGGTCCAAGAAGCGGGTTTTCCTTCAAATTCTGGAACGAAAACGTCCCCAGCCATCGCATCGCACACGGCCTCGTTGGGTGATGCTTCGGACAGTTGTTGATACCCACGCTGATGATAAATAACAACAGACTGATGGAGAAGATGAACCACCACRAAAACCGCCACACTCTTCTGATTCCCTCATGCGTTGGGGTAGGAGCTTCCCCCATGCTTGAGAGCGAGAACGCCTCTCTATTGTCACTTCGAACGGTCCAAAGATTACCAGAAGCGTTGAAACCGAATCGCTCCCGAACTCTCCGGGCACACCACCTGCGAACTCTCTATCCTCCTCTGAGCCGCTTGCCAGTCAATGGAGAACTCGCGAGAGGAAAAGCGGAGCTCGCCAAGGAACCGATGACAAGGCGATTAAAACATGTACCTGGGCTCAGCCAAGGTCAAGAAGTGATGTCGACGAACATGTGGAGCCAGAACGAAGTTGAAGCGATGGCACGCCGGCCAACCGCTACAAGACCTCACTCAAAACCCACACCTCAGCTTCTGAATTGCAACCTCTCTCCTCCACCACTAAAAACCTACACTTCAGCTTCAACGCATTGTAACCTCGCTCCTGTGAACACTCTCCCTCCTGAGCGCCCAGAAATACACCAACACGAAGACACGCGCCGGGATAAACGAACCCGGCCAGGAAACCGATGCCACGTAGATTGAGACATGTGACGCAGGTAAGCTAATGACAGAGCGGAGGTGAGAGCGATGTACACGCAGAGCAAGCGCGTGAAGTTATCACTCAAAACACTTCGGCGCTTGTGCACTACGTCTCGCTCTTCTCTTTTTCTTCCGTCGTCTTACCGGTAGATACTTGAAGAGAAATGCTTCGTGCTGCCAAGGAGGCGTTTCAAATCAAGAGCAGACTGTGCAGCTTCGCGCCTTGATGCAAACGAGGCCCACCCCGCGCCTACCAGAGAGTGCCGTTCGTTCTTCGTCAGACCGTTTTTTGGAAAGCCAGCCGCCTGCCCACCCGCCGTACCCGTAGCCTCCCGTTGGCTTTTCCCAGGGGCTTGCTGGCTTGCTGTGCGTGCGTCCCCAACGGTACTCCCCGCGCTTTACGACTGCAGACTGCACATACACGGCGCCACCACGGCCCCAAAAGGAAGGACCTCTTTTTGTTTGGAGAAATGCCCTACCTACCCCATCTAAGGGCCTCGCCACACCAGTCTCGAAATGTGAAAAAGACAAAAAAATGGCAGGTGCATCTGGCCACGTTCTGCAGGGAAGTTCATTCTCATTTTGCGCATTTCGAGAGTGGTGTGGCGATGCCCTAAGGACGGCCCGCTGACGAAGCACCAGATAGAGCGCAGACGCCTTTTGGATGTTGCAATCCGCAAAAGTGGCAGGTGTGAGTGTGGGCGTCGCGCGCACATGCACAAAAGACGAAAATCATGGCGGTGTATCTTTTTTTCTTTTTTTTTTGGAGATGGCGGTGTATCTTTCCATGTTCTAGTAGAAGATTGACTCTCGTTTTTTTGCACATTTAGAGTAGTGGAGCCAAGCCTATGTATGGCCGTCGGCTAAATCGCGCTGCTTTCGATTGCCCCCCCCCCCCCCCTTCCCCAAAAAAACGACCCCAGCCCCCAGTCCTCAGCCCCGCTGCCATAACTCCCTCCTGCGGCCTTCTCCGGTTTCTGCTTGCTCGCTTTCCCTTCTGCCTTGTCTGCTCGTCTCCACGGTTTCCGCGCTTGCACTTCCGCCCCGGACTATCGCTCGGGTGTGGTTACAGGTGGCAAGCTACTTAGAAGCGCCATAGCAAGCGAGTGAGCGAGCTAGCTAGCCAGCTAAAGAGAGAGAGAGAGAGAGACAGAGAGAAATAGAAAGAGAGAGAGATGTCAAATGGGTAAGACAACTTGCGATGGATATAATTTTGAAGAAGGCAGGAGCGAGTTGACTCACGTGGGTAGAGAGAGAGAGAGAGAGAGAGAGAGATGACAAATGGGCAAGACAACTTGTGACGGATGAAGAAGGTGAGAAATACTCATCCTTATTTTGATGTTTCTGTATTTACGTTTGTAGTACATGATTGTCTGTTCCGTAACTTCATTGCTTGTGCATCTTTTTGTGTTGATTTGTGGGGCACTCGACGAAGTAAGCGTTGTTGGAGCAAATACCTTTACAATTTGCCCATGTTTTTGCAATCGAGACAAAGATGTCATCGACCGCCATGATGGAGTTGGTATGAAGTTGAAAGCGCGCGCACTTTTGCACGACAATTTGAGATAAGTTCCTCGACCATTGAGGTCGAGACGTATCGGAAAGTAAAAATTTGGTTAGTACACGCTCGTGTTGTTCGGACGCGCGCTAAGATGATTAGGATCAATAGTAATATCACTCAACCACAATCATTAAGATCGGGATGACACGCCATCTCGGCAACGGAAGACGGCCAAGCCTATTAGGTATGAAGTGCATGCCTTGGCACCACACATGGTAAAGGAGTGCAAAAATATTATAAACCCCTCGACCGTGGAGGTCGAGGGGTCGATTGGATCATTGTTGTGTCGAGTAAAGTCTACGACACGTGCAAAAAGTTAAGTGTCAGAACGTGTTAAGACTAAGACTAGCTAAATTAATATAGGCCCCGACCATACCGTTGGGGCAACCATTAAGAGCCTGAAGTACCTACTGCAGATGAAATACATTAGACAACGTAACCTAATCCCTTATAAAATGAAGGTTGGGCTTCGACCACTAGTTGGGTCGAGTCCTACTACTCTACTTATAGTTGAGCTGCTCCTTTTGTACTTGAAATAGGAACTAGCTCAGTAGGTTCAAGTGCAAATTATCAAGCAACAAACTCGGGGATGAAATTTGTGCGACCCCTAAGTTAGCTCCTTTCAACAAGTAGCTCAACTATAGTTTCACTCCGTTTTCGGTCTGTCGGGGCTTGAATCGACGACATCAGTAGTAGAGTTAGTTAAAATTAGTTAGAAGGTTGGAACCCCACAATAGCAGGGCACGACACTTGGCAAGTAGGAAAAATAGTTGTTAGATTTTTTTAGGTTTTTTTTCTTTTTAAATGTTTCTGTTTTTCTTTTATTTATTGTTAATCCTCAGATCTTCTTTTTTTTTTTTTTACTTTTTTTTTTTTTACTTCCATGACTCTCTTTTAAACTTATCTTAATAAAACTGCCCCAATTTTTTTGGGCAGATTCATTTCCGAAATGTTGACATTTCGCAGCAACGGCAGAGCTGAAACGCAACATCTACGACTCTGGTTTGCATGTTGAGATAGAGGGTTTGTCTAGTGACGCAAAAAACGCGTGCTAGCATAAAAGTAGGATTGCGCTCGAGCAGAGAACGTGATAGCGAGGAGAGCAAGGAAGAGTCGTGCAGGGAGCAGTGAAGATGGCGAGCGGGAATCGAATGGGATAGCGAGTAGGGAATAGAGAAAAAACCAAGTGAGGAAAATGGAAAGATGACCACGCAAAAGAAGGCAGCGGTGACTCATGGGAAAGGTAGTAAAAGAAGCAACATAAGTAGTCGTGGGATAAGAAAGAAGAAGAAGAAGAAGAGAGAAGGGGAGAGGGCGACTAACCTGGCCGGTCAGGCAATAGATGTTGGGAATGTTCCCGGCACGAGTTTTGGGGTCTTGTACTGCAACACAGTTCGGACCTCGAGTCGTATCTCTCGGAGGGCTTCCACGACAGCTCGCTTGTCCTGGGCAGTGGTCATGGTTGTTGAGGCTTCTCGATGCGGTGGCGCTGGCTGGTGGATCGTTGCGCTCACCCTTCGTTCATCCTCTTGTGATGATTAGCGTCCTATTGTTGGCGACGATCTGATTGGCAGTCATCTGCAGGTGGTGAATGTGATGATGTTCATCGCTAACTATCATTTCGAGCACTCTCACCCAGTAGGTTTTGGGGAGAGCAGGTGCAACATTGTTGTGGTGTGTTTTTTGTGTCCTTACTCATGATTACACGTCTTATTTATCTTAGGTAGTATTAGGATTTGTTATGGAGGCTCTGCACTCTTTGTCATCGGAGTGGTAACGCAGGTGGCCTCGGCCCTGCTTCAACTGCTTACCATGTGTGAAGGTGGAAACCGGTGGGATGTGTGATACCTATGCCGACTACGTCATGAGGTTGGATCCGTCATCCGTTCAACTTGTTGTGATTCCGTCTTGTTTTGGTTGGGGGTTATGAAGGTTATCGTCCTCTGTCTCTCGGATTCGCCTGCATCAAATCCTCATGACTGTGACATCACTGGCTATGTCACAAGATGAAGTAGATTCACTCCCACCAAACAAAAACCCAGTACTGGCCCGATGAATCCAGACTCCTGCCTCAATGACCTTTCTTTCTCACATGATGTTCATTTCAATAGCATCATCCACAAGGGCGGAGTATTTCACACAGTCTTATATGAACCTTCAAAAGATCGGTTGCCATACATCGTCAATCCATCTTAGTACCTTTCGGCGCCCAGTTGGCTTCTGGAGGAATAATTTCTCCAAACTTGACAGTCATAACCATCTTTCGCATTAACTGCTGCTTGAGTTCCTCGTGGATCTTTAGGGATACCACCAGAAACTCCTTCAGTGTAACTAAGTGACGTTGACTTTTCAGAATGCGATCTACAATATGTTCATTGTCGATTCCCCTTTCGACAGGAATCGTATAAATATTTTTTTTTCGTTGAGATTCTTCTTCATCATTCATACCCTTCGCTTTTTCATAATCGTGTTCTGAAGCTCGTTGTTTTGCCTGTCGCTCGTCTTCGGCGCGCAATTTCCCATCCTCTTCCTTCGAGTTACCTTCATTGTCATGAATAAATCTCTCTTCCAACAATTTTTTCGATCACCCTTGAACTACCACCAGCTTACGTAAGGGTTTCTTGGTTATACGAACTTGTGGCAAGGCTGACGATGTCACCCGCTTGAATGCAGGTCGGGACATGAGTGTTGCGGTCATGGATCTGAGGCAGATGATAATCTTGGCGCAGATGGAGATGCACCCTCATGTTTCCCTTGGTCATCCTTGTCCCATCCTCTGAATAAGTATACGTTTGGAAACCCATACCATTCCTCATTCATATCAAAACATAATTGGAAGACTTCGTTTCGACATCACACCATTTTTTTCGTTACTTTCCGTGCCTATTGGATAAGGGTATCACCTTGTTCAATTTGTTATTCCAACTCCACCATCGAATTGTCAATCTTCAATGCCTTAAATGCCTCTTCCATCAGAAAAAATCCCTCCTCTTCTTGATAAGCCATCCGGAACATTGCTGACAAATCCCAACCTATTCGCCGAAACGCCTCCTTCCTCATGCCTCCCTCAATATTTAAATCAATTAAGTTTCCTTCATGTTCATATACCTCACCTCGGATTGTAGTATACACAACTTTGTCAGTTTTATCATTGACGAGGATTTGACCGAATCGCATAATATGTCTCCTTTGATCACAATATTTACACGTGGGGTCCTTCTG